CCGGAGGGGGTCAGAGGGCGGCATGGAGGAAGTGAAAGAGCAGAGGCTGGGAGAGTGTGGGAGAATTCCCGGAAGAAGGTGGCTGTGAAATGGAGAAGATGGTGCCAGCACTGCCACCCGAGGGCTGCAGGGAGGGTCAAGCGGGGTGACAAGCAGAGGGGTGCCCGGCTCAGTCCCCAGGAGCGCGGTGTGATGGGTGGGCCGTTCCCTCAGGCTGCTGGCTCCCTGCTGGGTTGCCCATGACCGCAGCTATTTTAACAAGGTTCTCAGTGTAACCCTGAGACCAAATGACCTATTTTAGGCTCTCTGGCAGCATACCCTGAGCCCGCAGCCTTGGCTTCCAAGGGGGAAAGCCAGCAGGGCTCAGGGACCGCCCAGCTGGCTCGGGCTGGGGACCTTCCCTGGAAAGTCTCTTCGAAAAAGAGTGTCATCAGACAGAGGCTACGACAGGCCTGAGGAGCCACAGTGCCAGCATCACAGCTCCCAGGGCCAAGAAGTGGGGAAGAGAAAGGACAGAAGCTTCCTTAACAAAAGGGGCCACACCTAGACGGGGTCCCTCCAGTCCCGGGACAGCTGGACAAGGGTCTATCCGGAGCTCAGCACGAGGATGCCAGTTCTGCAGGCCACTTTGCAGGGTGCACCGGGGGCCTGGAACTGGCGCTCACTGGGCACCCATTCCCTATGCAGTGCTGGCGCAGGGAGAGATCAGGAGCTTGCAGAGAACCAGCATGTTCAAAGGCACCTGTTGAAGGGCCTAGAATAATGAGACAGCAGGAAACCCTTCCAATTTTTTCATGCCCTCCTGGAATAGTATGTTAACTGCCTAAATCACACTCAGGTAAAGCACTGTTCTGATGAAAAATGCATATGGCCTGGGGGGAGGGTACAGCTCTGTGGCAGAGTGCATGCATAGCATGCACAAGCTCCTGGGTTCAATCCCCAGTACCTCCACTTAAAAAAACAATAATAAACAAACAAACAAACAAAACATGCACGGCCTATAAGCCACTCCCAGATGTTCTTTGTTTGCCGCACCCGGGACCCACATGACCTGTTTTATGGCCGTGAGCGTGTTACTTAACCTTTCAGGGCCCATTTTCTCATCGTGGACATCGGACAGCACCTACCTCCTCACAGGGCCATCGTGAGGATTCACTGGGATAACGTGTGCTACTTAACACGGAACCTGGAGAGTAGTAGGAGCTCAATGAATGTTTGCTACTATTATAATTAATAGCAGAAATGAGGAACAAATGTCCAACAATAAAGGATGGCTCAAAAACCCGTGGCACAGCCAAACAGCTGCGTATCACGCACATGATTGATAAAATGCTTTCCTGAAAATTGCTCAAGGACATGGTAAAATTATCATAAGTGAAAAATGGGTATCAAAAGGGATATCAAAGTGTTTACACTGTATGGTCTCAGTGTTATAACGGAAATACATGCATATTTTTTAAAGGCTGATGGGGAATGAACACAAGGTAATGGTGATTCTAGCTATGTGGCAGGAGTCAATTATCTAAGTTTTTCTGCTATTTCTGTCTTTCCCAATGACTTTCCACAGTGACTATGCATTACTTTACAGCCAGGGAAAACGATTGATAATGTGACGGAGAGAACAGAACCGACAGTAAGGAAGGAATGAACGCAGCGTTCTGCTGAGCCTGCTCTGGAAGCTACGGCCCTCCTCCCCTGAGCCTGCAGCTGGGCCTTCTCAGCCAGGCGACCTTCTCAGAGCAGCACTGATTTCCTCTGGTTCAAAGAATACAGAGAAGAGCAGGGGGAGGGCATAGCTCAGTGGTAGAGCACATGCTTTGCATGTACTAGGTCCTGGGTTCAATCCTCAGTACCTCCATTAAAAAAACTATTAAATAAACCTAATTCCCTCTACCACCCCCCCCCAAAAAAAGAAGAGCGAGAAGAGCAGTGTACAACGAGGGGAAGAAGGTGCTCTGGGGGGATGAGCAGAGAGAGGCAGAAGGTGGAGGGGGAAAGAGAGAAGGAGATGGGTGGGGAGATTAAGATGGCTTAGAGCAGCAGAGGCCAGGCAGGCCCACTGTTCAGTTCACACTGGGGGGCCACTGGGCCCTCTGCTGGAACCATTCAGTGAGTCCCATAGGTGCAGGTCCATGCACTCCAGCGCCTGCCTAGACCCGGCAGATACTGAACATGTTCACCAAGGGAAGAATGGGGTGGGGGGAGGCCAGGAGACTTGGGCACGGGGCGAAGGGCAGGACCACAGTGAGCGAGAAGTTCCAGCCCACGATCCTACCTGGATCTGGGGAGGGCAAGCAGTGCTCCCAGTACCAGGCCCCTCCAGCCCCAGAGGGGAAGCACGTGCGGGTCTAGAGTTGGTGGGTAGAACCCCAGGACCAATGCCAAGCTCTGACCTGTTGGTGGGGAGACCTAGGCCCCCTACTGACAGCAGCTCGAACAGGAGGAGAGCACGGGCATTTGCTGAGAGACAGTGCCACCTAGTGGCAGGAGGCACTAATGCCAGGTTTCTATGGGACCATGGTGCCCATCATACCCCCTTGCTCCTAAGCCTTTCATGCCTTTCATGCTGGGGTCTCTTGCATTGGAAGCAATGATCCATAGCTATTGCCACCCAGGCAGCACCTGAGCCTGGGACAGAAACTCTCCCTGTAGCATCAGCTGAGGTCAGCTCTGCCAGTGGAGAAGGGTGGTCAGGCTAGAATTTTTGCCGAGATCCATTTGGCCCCATGGCATGGGCAGAAATATAGGGTCCTGCTCTCAGGCTTATACTTCCATAGTGGGAGAGACGGAACTGACAGCTGTTTTGTTTGATTGTGTGTTTGCTTGTAGTGTCTTTAGGCACAAAGAAAATACAGGAGCTCTTCCCAGCACCGTCACCCCTTCTCTCTCGACCCCCCACTCCAGGGGAATTCTCCCTCAGGCCTTTCTGCAGCCCATGTCTTCCCGTGAGGTTCAGGTCAGAGGTGACCGTGGGGGCGAGGGGCAGGCTGAAGGGCACTCTGCAGCAGAGAACCATCTCCCCAGAGATTCTTCCCCGGCTCCAGGTTCACTTCCAGGAGTCTGTTCCCTGGAGAGAGAATATCTGAAGCCAGCCTGGCTGTCTGGATGTCCCACACCCAAGAGGGCGTGGCTTCCACGGCCCACGAAATGACACCCACACGCCCATGGCTCCCTCCTGACGGCTCAGCAGTTTCAGGCCAGGTGAGGTCACCATGACCTCCTTAAACAATTTAACAGACCTCGTTTAAAAATTAGTTTTACCAAAATATGTGACTTGGAAAGTGGAAGTGCCTTACGTAGTTCTACCCTTCATCAAAATTTCCTATCAACAGGCCAGGATACACTCTTTCAGCTTTTTCTGTTCTCTACACGGACATGTATGAGTGTGTGTGCTCGGGGAGGGGGGGATATATGTGGTGGTGCCTTCTACACTTACAGACAGCTGTATAGCTTATTTTGACTTTTTCTATTAAGAGCATTCTACGAGAGGCATTCTTACCACCGCAGCTCAAATTCAGGTTAACGCAGTGACCCAAGACTAGGAGGGGAGGAAAGGTGATGCTCCAGGGACTCAGAAGCCTGAGGGTTTCAGGTGGATATGGTTCAGGACCAGGGAACAGGGACCCATGATAAAACCCAAATCAGCCCTGGAAGAGAAAAGACCTCTCCCCAGAAAATATCCCAGCAGGAGGGCAGGGGCGGACTCCACACCCCTCATCTCCTCTGCAGCCGGCTGACAGTGCACTTGGGACAGAACAGGCTGCAGCATGAGTGTGGCCCGGGCAAGCTGTGCACGGCCAGTGGCTGTCCCCAGGAGCTGCCCACGCCACTGGAACACCCTGTACATTTCTGCTGAGTCGGGTGCACAGGCTGGGTCCCAGCGTCAGAGCTCGGGAACCGGGCCTCAGGCCAGGGCAGAGCCCTGCGACATCCAGGAGAACAAGGGCAGCCTCAGGAAAAGCAGCCCCATGTGCCAGACCTGCCCTCCTCGGCGGCCTCCGGGACCAGCGGACATGCTCGTCAGCACTCTGTCCCCTGGGAGCCCGCTCCCGCCAGGCAGGCCACCGGCTCCACTGCTAATGGTCAGTGATTCCAACCAAGCAAAGTAAGGACCAAAGGAAAGGCCTAGATGGATGTGGTGGTCAGGATATGGGGCCACAGGGTCAGCAGGATAAGCCTTCTGGAAAGGGAGAGCCCCATTAAGGGTCTAGCAGTTTCCTGGACAGACAGCGATGAAGCCAACTCTGGACTTGGGCTGCAGGTTTGCACCCTGGGCCCCCCGGTAACCGGCTGCAGTGACTTACTGCTTCTGAAGCCCAGCTTCCTTGCCTGTTAAGTAGAAATGAAACAGCTGGTAGCTACCTATGGTTAAATGAAACGCTGTGGATCAAGCACTTCGCCCAAGTCTGCCAGACAATAAACACTCCATCTTACCCACCACTATTATCATGATTGGCTGAGGGCACTCAAAAAAGAAAGAACTCCCTTGGGCACATGAAGACCTCTGGGGCCACAGGGGCCACCTCCCTGGGCACAGCCAGGAACACAATTGCCCCATGTAGCCTGTGCCCAGGCCAGGTCTTAGCACACAAGACCTGGCCCTGAACTGGATCCTGGGTGGGGAGGGGTCAGGCCAAAGGCTAAAGAAATGCAAACACCAGAGACTCTGCAGTGACAGGGCCCCTAGACACCTCTAGTTCTTGCCTCCCCCTGGGCTAGAAAGGGATCCCACCGTGGCCAGACTGGGTCCTTGCTCCCACCTGGGGAAGGAGAAGAGGCCAGCCTGGAGGCCCTGGACGTTCCCCGGGGTCCAAGTCTAGAGGCAGCCGCCGCCTGGGGCTCAGCTCTGTGGGTGGGAGGGGGTGGCAGCCCATCCTCGTCCACCCAAATCTCTCTCCCATGGACTCCCCATCTAGAAGGGCTGGAGCTATGTTCTCTGAGAAAGCACCACCGAGTGTCCCTGGGAAGGGCGCGGCCGGCTGCGTGGGCCCCCCACTCACCCTGGTCGATGGAGTGCTGGGGCAGCTGGCTGAGCTGGCTGTTGACCACCCCCGCGTAGGTGCGCAGGAACTCCTCCTCGCTGGCCGTCAGCTGCAGGGGGACAGAGCTATGGGTGAGGGGCCATGCACTGCCCCCCAAGGCACCTGCCCAGAGCTGCTCAATCACCGAGGGGTGCCTCCTCCGCTGCTCCCTGGGTCTCTATTCTTGTGATTGGACCTTTCGGTTTGGGGGTGAGCACCACCCCCCACCCACCTCCCTCCCACCTCTGAAACCTGGTCCATGGGGCCCACAGGCCTTGCCACTCAACCAGATCTGAGATGGATTCCGGCGCAGTGCAGGGCCAGTGGGAAGACACCAGCGCTGCTCCGAGAGCCCGCCCTCCCTCGCCTTTGGGAAGCGCCCCGCACACCTGCTGCCCTCTCAGCGCCCGCCATGCCCCCTGGATGCTCCTGGCAGAGAAGACTCTCAGGTGGTGGGAGAGGGGAGGAAAGGAAGGTCAAGGCCTGTAGAACTCTTACCCATCTGGCCCATACTTGGTGTGGGGAGGTGGGAAGACCATCCCAGTAGGGCCTCCAGAACTGGGCGTGCTGGTCTCTGTGCCTGGGAGACTGAATTGGCCACAAAACCAAACCAGAGGCCCGGCATCCCCTCCCCAGACCACGGCTGCCACATTAGGTGGCTACAGCCCCTCTGCCCTGCCTGCATCAGGCACCCTGCCTGGGGGGCCTGCTCCTTGGCGCCCGCAAGGCACTCACGTTGGAGCCCATCTTCCTCAGCATGAGCAGCACTCGGACCTTCTGCTGAATGTACATCTCTTCCGGACTCTTCCCGGGCGCCCCCTCGCGGTTCATCCCCTGGCCAGCTCTGGGGACTCCTGCGGAGCGAGGAGAAGTGTGGCGGGGGTGTCAGGACAAGATAGATCCACAGATATCGGGGAGCTAGGTGGGAGTCATCAGGCAGCCCACAATGCTTTAGGGTCTTGTTTTTGAGAGCCCAGAGCAGGTGGCTCCTCCTTCACCACCGTGACCCCATATGGCCAGACTGAGCAGCTAGACCCCGGAGCAGGCGTGGGTGGCCAGCCCCCTCTGTGCATGGGGCTGTCGGGCCCCGGGAGCCTGGGCTGACTCAGACTTCTGGGTAGATCTACCTTCTATCCACCTGCTCAGCAAGGCTCCTGCTGCGAGCCCAGGAGATGTGCTGCATGAAGCCCAAAGTGTCCCCAGCTTTCTCTACTGTCTACTCCCAGCTTTCAAAGCAAGCAACTTCCACAAACTGCAAAGTGATATGATTAGAGGTAGCAGGCTGGGGCCTGTTGCTGGAGAAACTGTGGGATCAGTACCCAGCCCCCAAACACTAAGACAGCTCCCTCTGCAAAAGTCCCTGACAAGTTCAGGAGGCCAGCTCCTGGGCTGGGCTCCAAGGAGTCCCTCGACGGGGACAGTGAGCCCACGGCTGTGGACACAGACCACTCACCAGGGCTCACTGCCGCCGCCCTCACAAGCCCACCCACCTGTTACAGGGTGGCTCCTGAAGGCAACAGCTGTGTCCAGGTGCAGCAGGGACCCGACCTGCAGAAAGATCCCAGGAGAGAAGTCCCAGGGTCTCCTCCCTCCAGGAGGAGCCGGTGGGGAGGAAGCAGGCGTGGAGGGGTTTGGGTTACACACTTGTAACTCCTGGATGAGTCAGAAATAACGCAGCAGCTGGTGGGGGTGGAGCCTCAGCAGCCCTGGTGCCAAGGAGCTGCACTCGGAGGACCAAGGGAACCGGGCTGGCGGGCCAAGGACACTCCTCACACCGTCCATCCCTCGGGGCCAGCCAGCCCTGGACCAGCAGGCTCTCTCGGGCAAAGGGAGGGCTCAGAAATGTGCCAGAGCCCTAGGCAGCAGCCTCCCTGGAGGCTCCTGTCAACCGCTGTCCCCATAAGGCAACAGGGGCTCTGGCCCTAAAAGCCGACACAATAGGGCAAGATGCGGATGGAGTGGCCGGGTCCCTGACGAGGTGCTGTCCCCTTGCAGGGCCCTCCTCTCCACCACCAAAGCCCAGGCTCCCTCCTCTACTGTCTACTCCCCTGACACCTCCTCTGGGCTCAGAAAAGAGCCAATTAACAACTGGTAACCGGGAGGGAAGGGTGAGCCACCCCCCAGGGCCAGGTGCTCGAGGCCAGCTGAACGCCCTAACTTCCCAGCGCAGCTGAGTGGGGAAGCTCGGTTCTGGGCTATCACCTCCCCTCCTGCTGACACCCTCTCACTTCCTCCCACTCCACCACCCCACATAGGGAGCCAGAACGGTCTTTTAATAAACCCAGAACAGATGACAACCCTCTCCACTTGAACCTACCCTAGAACACATTTCGTGTCCTCGCCAGGACCCTGCACAGCTGGCCTGGCCTCTCTCTCCTCACTCTTCCCCTTGCCGCTCTGCCCCACTGGCCCCCAGTGTTTCTAGATCATTCCAAGAAGCCCTTCCCCAGCAGCCTTTGCACTGGGTGTCCCCAGGCCTGGAACTGACTTCTTTCCATCTCGCTTAGATGCCTTCCCAGGGAGCCTTCCCTAACTGCACGACCAAAGCAGGTTCTGGGACCCGCCCAGGCCCTCTTGGGCACATAGCCCTGTCTCGTCCCAGTTTCTGAAGGCCGCTGCTGGGGCGCCTGCTCACTGTGTTTTCTGCACCCGCCTGGAGGGCCGGGGCCGCGTCTGTCTCGCTGGCCCAGTGCTCCCACAGCCCAGCGCCGTGCCTGGCAGGCTGAAGGGAGCGTCCAGACAGCCTGTGGTAACAGGGTTTCCCCTCTACAATAGCCACATCACTTTAGGCTCAATGAAGTCCCGAATCCAGCCTCCATAACCAAACTTATTTTTTTCAAAGACTCTCATTCCTGAGTCATTTGTGTGCCTTCAGCTGTCGTGTTCTGCAAAGTCCATCTGGGATGCTCCATGAAGCCTTCACACTGAGAGTTAGTGCTTCCAGGAGTAAAAATCGGATTCTGTCCTGTGTCAAAGCTCAGTTTGCTCTCTCTTTGTGGAAGACAAGGGACTGGCCACTAGGTGTCGCCACACACAAAAGAACCGGAGCTCCAGTACTGTTCCCCCCAACACAAGCCCCCAACAGGCCCCTCTGGTTCAAGGCTTTATTGTGACCCTACTGTCACAAACCACATCCCAGTCCCAGAGCAAGCTTGTTCCCTCATGCAAGGGCAGCTCTACCCAGGCAAGGATATGCATCTGGTTTTGCTGTGCATCCCAGGACCAGGGATCCTGGCCTCAGGGAAGTTGGGAGCTCCTTCCTCGCTGTCCTTTCCTAATCAGCCAAGTGCCCTTCAACAGAGGTATCAGGGCTCAGAACCAACAGGGCAGAGACTGTGTGTGTGTGCGCGCGCGTGTGTGTACACGTGTGAATCATTTCACGTGGGCTCTACTTCATGGAACTTTGCTCTTCCCAAATCTTACCCTTGGCGCCCCATACAGATAGGTGCTGCTCCAGTTTCCACCACTGTAGCCTCACTATTCCAGGGGACCTGCCTCCCACACTCATGCTGTGATCACTGGGGAGCCCCACACACCCAGCTGTGGGCCTGGGGTCTTTGGGGCCAGGTCACTTCCACTTCACACTTCCTGGCAGAGACGGGTTCTTACACAGTTTCTCCTTGCCTTGGGGAGACTCCTGCCACTGCTGAAAATTCTGGTCTTCTAGCATTTTCCGAGCTCTAGTTTGAGCTGGTCCCGCCCTGAGGGAGGAACACCCAGGGCTGGGTCTGGGGCAGACTGTGGACCAGGACCACATTCCTGCTTCACACTCCAATCTGGGTGGACTGGGACGTTGTGACTGGTTTACATAATTCCGTCCTAAACAGAACCTGCATCAGGGGTGCCAAGGTGAAGGAAATTACTGAAGAGAATAAATCATAATTGACCTAAACAGCACAGACGGTCCAGTCGCTGGTATGCCACAAGCGGATTAAAGTGTGTTTGCGTTTGGTGCCTATCCAAGCAAACATGCTATTAAGTTTTCATCGCAATTTTGACACACATCAGATTAACTTCACTTGAGAATTCTTACTCTCCCCTGTAGGGATCAAGAACTGCTCTCAAAAAAAAAGAAAAAAATTGTCCAGAAAAAAAAAAACTGGTCTCCACTAAAATGTGTTTGAATTGCATGAGTCCAAACTACAAAGAATTTAGACACACTAATTATGCATTCAGTCCTCAGCCTCTGGAGCCAAAGGTAACAATGCTTCTCAGTTATGGTCTCCCAGCTACCCCCTCAACACCCCATCACCTAAGATGGTGGCGCTTCCATTCTAAACCCCAAGAAAACCCCTCAATGTCACCTGCCCAGGTCAGAGACAGATCTGCTCCCTCTCTGGAGATACAGCATTCTGGAAGCTAACCAGGGAAAGGCATATGTGAGCCAAAAACCAGAAACTGGATAGAAACAGGCAACTATCAGCTAACTATCCAAACGAATGGCGACGGGAATGTGGCTATAGATACATTATGTCACAGACACCCACGTGTTGTGTGAAAAGTGGGCGTGACTCCAGAAAATACGCTTGATCTTGGACAAATGCAATTAAGGGAAACTGAGGTACATACATTCACTGCAGACACACAGATGTATCCATCCCCACCAGATACACACTTCTGTTGGCTTTGAGACCGCATCTCAGTTGAAGGAAGGTTGGCTGGTAAAGGACAGTGAGGAAGGGGTTCCCAACCACTGGGAAGGACCCATACAAAGCGACAAATGTGGCCCTCGGCCTGGGAGGCCACACTGCGCTCTCTGGGAGGCATCGAGGTCATCCAGAAGGTACCCTGCTCCCACCCAGGGATTAGAGGGACCTAATCTCTATGCCCACGAGCTCCATCTTGGAAGCAGCTGATCTCACTTTGGGAGAATCAGGAGGTGGTGTGGGAGGGACTGGAGATCGGGGCGTGCAGCAGTCAGACCCCTTCTGATAAACAGCTTTGAAAGCTGGCCTCCCACTGACAGGCCCGAGGGGCCCCGAACACGAACACAGCCACCTGCCCTCATTTTTATTTATAAACTTGAAGCTAATGTTAATACCCATATTTATATAAATTGGAATATACCTTCCTACTCATGGTGGTCTAGGCACCTGCTTGGAAAATGCTGAGCAACTGTGGGCTGGGCCAGACAGCGGGGGACCTTTAGATACACAAGCCCTCTCTGCCCCATGGGTCCCAGCACTTGCCTTTTGTTTTGTCCATTTTTTAAAAGTTGTGATATATTATAAATGCTCATGTTTTAAAAGGTACCTTTAAATTTGTACAATGATTATGCTGCACGAAAATACAATACAATTGTGCAATTCATAGAGCTTATATGAAAAATTCAGACTGCACACACCTTAACAGCCTAAAAGACATCAGTAGTACCACACACTCAGCGTAAGAACCCACACAGCTGAAGCAACGAGCATTGTCAGGATGAGGGAGAAAGGACAGGAGATGTGCTAACTTCATGGTCAGCCCCTGAGGCGGGACCCAAGGCCCCCACCCCAACACTGTTCTATGGCCACCCACCCAGATGTCTTCCCCTGAGGTTCTTACCTGCTTCTGGAAATTAATTTCAGGCAAACTGGGGCTCAACTGCGATGGGCAGGTTGTGGCCGGGGAGAAATAGGAAGGTGCAGCCCTGTGGAAACAGACACAGGTCATGGGAGGAGCTGGGAGGAGCTGGGAGGAGCGCACGCCCCACGCTGAGGGATACAGGGCAGCTGGTGGGAACCTCGTGGTGATGAGCTCCGTGCAGTCCAGAAATACCTGTGTGTCTGGCCAGCCTGGGAACTTGCACCCACATCTCTGGGATAAGGTGCTGACTGCAGCTGTGCTTGCCTGTCATTTCCGGCCAAAGCAGGTCACCACACAGCCTCCCCACAACCCCCTGCCCCAGGTTAGTCACCGAGGCTGAGTGAGAGCAGTGCTGGGAGACGTCGAAGACCAGAGTGAATCACTCTGGGGCAGCTGATGGGCAAGTCCTGCATCTGCATGAGAAGGCGTCCCACCCTCCAAACAACCAGACCTACAAAGAGCCAGGCACAGGGACCTGGCACTCTGCCCACTTTGTGCCCAGACGTGTACCGTGTGCGTGTGCCTGGGGGACATTGGGAGCTGTGTATGGAAACACAGACTTGCACACACACAGCACATTTGCAGATGATTGACAACCTGCTAGCCTGGCCACATGTCCGCTTGCCTCAAACACACCTCTTCCAGGAATCAGAGAACATTCTCTTCTCTTCTTTTGCCCGCCCCCCAACCTCATTCTTTGGGTTCTGCAACCTGGCAGGAGCAGGTGGAGGAGCAGGGGGCAGGGGAGTCTGGCCCACCCTTGTCAGCTCGGCCACTCCCCACGGTGGTGCATGGACCTCAGAGCACCTGGTTTAAAGGTGGACTTTTGGCTCTCAGCCCCCAGTGAGGACAGATGTCTTTGGATAATTAAGAAACCAGTTCTGAGGGACTGAGAGGAGCTTTGCAACCCATCTGTCTTCAGCAATTTCTGCAAGAAAGCTACTCACTCATGCAAGGGGCCGAGGAAAACGTGTTTTCCAGAGAAATTGAGATTTCAAAAGCCTCCCCTACAGGGAGGTGCCGCTCTAGCCTCTGGGTCTCCGGTCGGCATGGCCCTTCAGCCAGCGATGTCCCTGGGATGGGAGAGTGGTGACCCGCCACTGCCACCCCCCACCCTCAGACTACCCTATGGGAAAGACATTTACAGCAATTAATTGCTCTTTTATTTCTCGAGACATCAAAGCACTGAAATACCAAGGATCCCTGGGGAACTTTCCACCCAAGTCCCCATATTCCTTCAAAAAGAGATGAAAAGAGACAACCTTCTCCTACTTCTGACAGGCTTTAATTTCTCCAACTATCCCAACAGCCAATTAGCTTCCTACTGCCTACAGGGCCCGGACCGTCCAGGAAGCAGAGGCACCTTGGATTCATGACTTGAAGGAGACGGCGTCAAAGGGATGTGGTGGGCTCCTCACGGCACTACCCTGGGACTCACACCAGCTTTTCCATTTGCCACTTTATGATCAGGTCAATGTTCCCAGTTTACAGAGGAGGAAACTGAGGCTCAAGGCTGCTGGGGCCCCAGAGCAGTGGAGACAGAGAGCACACCCCTGGGGCTGGACTGTTTCCGGTTCTGTTCTCTCACTGGTCAACTGTGCCACCTGAGGTCAGTCAGTCACTGGCCTCTGGGCCCTTCATTTTGCCATTGGTCAAGAGGAAATCAGGGCCTCTACCATGTCTTCCCTCAGTGGACACACGAGATCTGGCCTGGCTTCACGAGCACAAGGCCTGGGCGCCAGCACAGGGCCTGCACTCAGAAGAGTCCTACACTTGGTTTAATGCTTGGCTGTCACCGTCTTAATAATTTTTGAACAAGGGGCCCCAAATCGGGCCTCACAAATTATCTAGCTGGTCCAGAATGAGGGAAAGGATGCCAAGTGCTCTCAAACTGCCAAGAGCCCCGTAACCTTAAGTAGGTATGACATGGACTCCAGATGGATTTCTAAAATAAAACCTTTCTAGGTGCCCACAGCCCTGCGTCAGGCTCAGGGAGCAGGAGAGACAGAAGGGGGGCAGTGACACTGAGCCTGTCTTCCAAGAGGTAACCGAATGGCTGAGAAAGCACACTGCACAAGGCAAATGGAAAACAACACAAATAACACGTAACAACAAGCCAAAAAGATATGCCAGGTTAAGACACAACACTTTCGAAGTGCCAGCGCCCGTAACACGCGGTGCCCAGCACCTCCCCCTCAGCAGCTCAGAGGCGGGAGGAGATCCCAGTGTAGTAAGTGGCAGAGTAAGGGGATGTGCAAAGCTCTGTGACAACACAGAGGAGGGATAAAGCTCCTGGGAGAAGACACTGGAGCTGGGTCTTAAAGGATGAACAGGAGTTTGCTGGTAGAGAAGACATGGAAGGGCACTGCAGGCACAGGGAATAGACATTCTCTGAACAATTACTGAGCATCTGTTTATTAAATGCCAGGCCCTGTGCTGGGCACTGAGGACACACAGGTGAGTTCAACCATCACAGTCTGCTTGCGACGGTGGTTCCCAGTGAGCAGGGGAGACAGATACTAACCAAGTCATACTCAGGTAAACGCAGCCTCAGACACTGTGATAAATGACCAGAAGGGTGAGTGCAAGGTGCCTTTGGAGTGCAGCTGGGGATCTGACCTTGCCCTGGGGGCAAGCACCCTTCAGAGGACACACTCGAGGAAGAGGAGGAGCTGGGTTGGGGGCCACAGGCATGTAAAGGTCCTGAAGCAGGAAGAGCCTGGACAGGGAAACTGGAGGAATAAGGTGTGGCTGGGGAGGCAGGTGAAGGGGCTGGAGGTGCTGGACTGCATGGGGTCCTGAGGGGGTGAGGAGAGGGTCAAGCAGGGGTAGGGGAGTGCGTCAAGAGACCACTGTGGCTGCAGCATGGAGGAGAGATGGGCAGAGCTGGAGTGCATGTCCCTGCCAGGCCACGTGAGAGCCGGGGCTCGGGCTGGGGGTGACGGAGAAGGGACGGCAAGGACAGAAGGGCATGGGACACCTCGGCAGGTGGAACTGCAGGATGGGAGTTGTGTCAGAGCCTGGACTGCTGCTGTGGCTGTGGGAAGAGGTGTGGGGAGGCATGACGTTGACAGCTGCCAGTGGAGGTGGAGGCCCTGGGAACAGGCTGAACAGCGAGGACAGGACTCCATGGGCCACAGAGAAGCCCATGCTGGAACCAGAGCAGATTCCTCCTTCAGATGAAATCGGTACCACCATGAAAATCCGCAAAGTGTCCTGAAGACAGAGTCTAAATGTGGTGACAGACCAGACCTGAGAAACTTCTGGGCACTTTTGGGAGACACTGTGCTGGATGGGGTGGTTGGGGAGCCGGGCCCTTTGGGAAGGAGTGACGTGAGTGAGGGTGAAGAACTGACATCCTGGCAATGCCACTTACCAGCTGAGCAGCCTTAGGGGAAGCGCGCTTATTCACTCAATCAACAAACATAAGGAGCACTCTCTGGGTACTGGGATACAGCAGTGCAAAGCGGTCAAAAGTCCCTAGGTACATTCCAGTGAGAGGGGAGAACAGACAAAGTGAAATAAACAAAGTGTAATCAATGGGTAGGTAATCTATAGGGAGGAGCAAGGGGACAGGGGCGAGGGGACAGGAGTGTGGAGTGGTCTGGTGAGGGGGTGTGCAGAGGAGGACCAGGAGAGCTGGACAGGGGCCCTGGGTGCAGCGGGAGGGAAGCGGGTGGCAGTGGGGGGGTAGGGAGCCCCTGTGAGGCTGGAGCAGAGGCGTGGCCTGATCCGACCTGGGTTTTAGCAGGGCCACCCTGACTTGGGGACAGCAGCAAGGAGGCCGTGGCAGGAATCCAGGCAGATGGAGGGGCAGTGGCAGTGGCTGCAGTGGGTGCAGAGTGGACATCAGGAGGGCCCGCGGGTCTGGTGTGGGATGTGAGGAGAGGGGTGTGTGATGGGAATTCCCAGGTTTTCAGGCTGAGATACTGAAAAGGGGCTTTCCTATCACCAAGATGGGGGAGAAACTAGCAGAGCAGTTTTGGGGAAAGACCAGGATTTGCTTAGAGCCCTTCCCATTTCTAGGCCTCAGTTTCCTTATCTGCATAATGGGGGTGACAATGGAACCCACCACAAGTGCTGGCTGTGAAATTAAATGAAAGAACATACAAAGAAAGCACCCGGCAGAGTGCCTGGCACATGGCACATGTGCAATAAATATTAGTTACTATTACTTATTACGATAAGATCAGGAGACAACGTGGACAGTGTAAGTAAATGATATTTTTGTTACAGGATGGGGGTAAAGTTAAACAAACAATAAGAATTCAAAGGTTTAAAATCTTCCAGCATTTCTTTTCCCTTCTTCCGTCCTAGTTTGCCCATCAGCCCTCAACTGAGTCAAAGGAATGATGAGGTGAAGGAATGAGAGGAGGGCTGGAGAGGGAAACAGGGCCCCCTCCCATGTTCTACATGCTGCCCTTGGTGTCTCACTCTTGGCTCTGTTGACATTTTGCTTTGGTTTTTTTTCTTAAGTGGGGGGAGGAGGTAATTAGGTTTATTTATTTTTAGAGGAGGTACTGGAGATTGAACCCAGGACCTTGTGCAAGCTCGGCATGCGCTCTACCACTGAGCTCTACCCTCCCCCTACTGTTGACATTTGGGACTGGGTAATTCCCTGCTGTGGAGACTGTCCTGCACACTGCAGGATATTTAGCAGCACCCCTGTGCTCTCCCCGCCAGGTGCACTAGCACCTCCCCCTTCGCTGTGACCGCCAAGACCATTCCAGACATTGCCATGTGTTCCCTGGGGGGGGGCAAAATCCCCTCCAGGTGAGAACACGGCTTAAAGAAACGGCTGACACACATTCTGCCTTGCTGTTGGCCAGACACCCAGACACTATTCTTTTAACCCTTTGTGTATGTGAATCTTTCAGTCTTCGAGACAAATATCCCTAGAAGATTTTACAAATGAGGACACAGAAACACAGAGATTCTGCTCACCCAGCCAGTCCATCCTAGTCCGTTCTGGGGCAGGATTCGACCTCTGACAGTCCGGGCTCTTGCCCCTGTGCTACGCTGTCCTCCAGTATACAAGTAAACAGACAAAAACGTGCTCAGAGC